CTCCCATCAATCCATCAAGCAACTTCTTTTATTTATCCTCGCCCAATCGCCGGGTCCTGAAAATCCCCGCAAAGCCAGTTTCATTACCGGCACCACACTATCAATTGTCAGAAACCTCAATAAAAGGACCAACCAAGTTTAAAACCAAGTACCACCAAAAAGAATCATGGGCTCTCTCCCCATTTCCACGCCTTCACGGCTCTTCGAGCCCCTCAAGATCGGCAACATTACGCTCCAACACCGCCTGGTGATGGCGCCGTTGACCCGCTTCCGGGCCGACGACTCCCACGTCCAACTGCCCTTCACGACGACATACTACAGCCAGCGCGCCTCGGTGCCGGGGACGCTAATCATCACCGAAGCGACTTTCATCTCGAAGCGCGCGGGCGGCTACCCCAACGTGCCGGGGATCTGGTCTACGGAGCAGATCGCCGCGTGGAAACACATCACCGACGCCGTGCACGCCAAGGGCTCCTACATCTACCTGCAGCTGTGGGCGCTCGGCCGCACTGCAAACCCAGCGATCGCGAAACGCGAGGGAATTGAAATCGTGTCGTCGTCGCCGACCCCTGTGGACACCGAGAACCCTGTGGTGCCGCGGGAGCTGAGTCGGGACGAGATCAAGGGCTTCGTCGCCGACTACGCGCAGGCGGCGCGCAACGCGATCGAAGCGGGGTTCGACGGGGTCGAGATCCACGCCGCGAATGGCTACCTGATCGACCAGTTCACGCAGGACGTGTGCAACGTCCGCACAGACGAGTACGGCGGCAGCGTGGAGAACCGGTCGCGGTTCGGGCTGGAGGTCGCGCGCGCCGTGGTCGACGCCGTCGGCGCCCACCGCACGGGCATCCGCCTGAGCCCGTTCAGCACGTTCCAGGGCATGAAGATGCGCGACCCGCTCCCGCAGTTCACGCACCTCATGAAGGGCCTCAAGGAGCTGAAGCTCGCGTACATGCACCTCGTCGAGTCGCGTATCTCGGGCAACGCCGACGTCGAGGCCACCGAGAAAATCGACCCCTTGATCGACGTCTGGGACAACACGTCCCCTGTGCTGGTTGCGGGAGGTTTCAGGCCGGCAAGCGCGCGCCAGGCTGTCGATGACGAGTACAAGGACCGGGATGTTGCCGTTGTCTTCGGACGGTATTTCATCTCTACCCCGGACTTGCCCTTCAGGATTGCAAACGACATCGAGTTGACCCCCTACAATCGAGATACCTTCTACACGCCCAAGTCCGAGGTGGGATACCTTGACTATCCTTTTAGCAAGGAGTTTGAACAAGCATATACCAAGCTCTAGAACACCATAGAGTTGATAAACACGTAGAGCATAGATGACCCAAACGGTAATGCGCGTTAACAATATGCATTCGCCAGTGCTCAATTTACGATTCTGACGGAACGACTGTCTTATTGATACTGTTTCTTCTCAAGGTCGCTCACCGTCCACCGAATAGAGGGATGCTGAATCCGCACAAGTGGAATAGCCCCGTTAGCTTGATCAGCTCCATCATCATCCCCAGTACCAGAGAAAATCGGCTGAACGCTCACATCAGCCCAGCCCGATAGCGGGTTGACAATTGCCCCCCGGCGTCGGTGAATACCCGTCTCTCGTACGTTAGGTCAGGATCGTGCTGATCACGTCGTTGCCGGCAGTTTTTGATTCTGTGTCCCTCCATTTCTTCCGCAATCACTTTTTCGACAATATCCTGGGGCATTACCGGCTGACGATACTCGTATCCCAGAAAGGCGCTCAACTTCCGAGTCTCCAGAGCTGGTGGGCCCACGATAGGGTCTCGCAGGATGATGTCTCTAGGCCTCTTCTTTTCCTTCTTCTTGGCCTTCGGCTTGACGTTCTCGGTGCTGGCCGTCGCTGGAGAGCCGTCAATATGAAGTCCGGTTCCAACAAGCGTCGCTCCGGTAGTTGGGCTTCCGTTCACCCGTGGTTGCATGAGAGGATTTTTGAGGCTATTGGCGTGTTTCGCTTCAGCAGGGTTGAGACCAGGCACAAAACAGTCCTGGGGAGGAACAAGATTTAGGGCTGTAGATGGCACAATGTTCTGCCCTTCTGCTTGATGGTGGCTTACTTGAGTAGGTTTGCGCTTTGGATCTTGAACAGCAATTTCTCCTCCAACGTCAAGTCCAACTTCAACCAGTGTTGTCGCAGAATCAATGTCAGAGATCGGATCTTCATCATCAAAGTACTTGGTGTCTTCCCAGTCTCTGACACGAGGCAGATACGGTGGACGTCGCTGGTAGATGGTGTCCCACTCGACACCCGCAAAAAAGGCATGGCGCTTGATATCTTCTGCATCATCAGGATAAACAAAATATCCTTGGTAGTTTTGATGAGTCTTGTCAGCAACGCAGCGAACAAGCCTACCGCCAACAATTTTTCTGGTGAAGTCATTGAGCTCATACTGATGACTGCAGAGCCGTTTCTCCTTCTCCACGAGGATTTTCGTCATGAGGTCCAATGCTTCCATGCTTGGTTCACGTAAAGCCTCCTGAGGCGGAAATACCAGCGTTCTCTTGTGCTGAAGGATTTTGAGCTTAGTTTGATGGCGGTCGTCGCAGGCAAACGGAGTGAAACCGTAAAGGCATTCATACATGATGATTGCGATGCTCCACTAGTCGCATCGTCCGTCGTACATCTCGCCGCGAATGACTTCGGGAGCCATATACTGCGAAGTGCCAACGACTGATCGGGCTAAGCGTCGACGTTGTGACCGGTTGCGCCAATCCAAGATTGGCTCTCCCAGGGTGGGATCTTCCTTGTACATCGAATCATCCTTTCCATGTTTCCTTGTTGTATGGTGTGACTGAGCTTCTTTCTCTTGTTTGTCCTGTTCGTCGCCGTCGACGCTAATCCCCAGTTCATCCAAGAGTGAGTGACGATTCTTTTGATAAAATCGTTGGTCGTGAGACCAGTCTCCATCAAAAGCCAGGCCAAAATCGGATATCTTGAGATGGCCATCGAACGCGATAAGAAAATTGTCTGGTTTCACATCTCGGTGAATCCACTTCATGCGATGTGCTTCTTCGACGCAGAGAATCATTTCTGCAATATAGAATTTTGTGAACTCTTCACTCAGAACATTCTTCCGGATGAGCAGACCGAGAAAATCCCCCCCGATGCAGTACTCCATGACAAGGTACAGGTGTTTCCGGTCCTGGAAGGCCGCAATCAGCGGAATGACCCATTTCGAGCCCTCTGCCGCAACAAGGAAATCACGCTCGGCTCGCAGATGTCCTTCTTGTCCATTTCGGATCATATCTGACTTGCGAATGACCTTCATTGCGTAGACTTCCTTCCTTGCCTTGGTGGGATCCCCGCTTTTGTTCAAAAGACCCCCAGACAGCACCCTGCTAGAAGACTTCAGGCTGGCCCGAGAAGGTGCGCTGAGCAGCATTTTGTCGAGACCCTTGGCTTCAGGTTTATGCAACCCATCCTGGCTGCCTTTCGCCTTGACCAGTCGGACGACCCCAAAGCTCCCTTTTCCGAGGATGCTGATTACTTCAAAGCCACCAACACTGACTCCTTGGCTTGCTTTGGCTTGGTTTGTTGTATTTTTCAGGACTCGACGTTGCCGGAGATTCTCGCTCTTAGCCATCTCCCATGCTGCCCGAACTCGACCCCGAATATCGGCAGGCAAGTGGAGGCCACGCAGTCGCTTTTCCAGCTCTCTACGGCGGATTATTCTTGGGGAGGTGCCATGGAACAATGAGTTGAAGTGAAGCTCAAAATACATTTTTGCTGTGGCTGCGGCCTCAACTGTCTTGATGGTAAGGCAAGGAGAGCTGATGCCTTCGGGGATAGGACTTAGCAATCGGCCCTCTCCCGTAAACGTCAGGCGGTCGATGTCTGTTAAATCCATGCTTCCACGGTGGATAATTGACAGGGGAGTTACAGGGTCGGAACTCGGCGGAGTCGATGTATTCCGATCGATTGGTGAAATGGTGCCGCTGTTCAGTGTGGAAGGAATAGAGGAGAATGGTGTAGAATTCGCCATGGCTGATTCCCATAACAGCGTCTGAACGCTGGGCCTCGAGCGCCGATCTGCCCTCTTGACAACGGTCGAGTTCCCATTGCCAAATGCCTGTTGAAACTTTTGGCTTATGCGGTGCTGAAGCCCAGGGGCGGATTGACTTTGTGAGATCTCCTTGCCATTTTCAGTAGTGCCTAGAGAATCATATGGAGTGTAGTCGCCATTCTCAGGGTTTCCATGTGGCCCCCGGGTAATCGGGGCGCTCTTAACAGTCGATGAGGCTGATGTGTCCCGATCATCTTCCGAGTCATCAGCAATTGCGGTCAGTCGGATCCTGAGAGGTTGATGGATCGTTGTCGTATTTGAGTCATTGGCAAGTAAGTATACAGATTGGGTGCCCTGGGTCAATGGAAACATGGATTCAGTACGGTGCTGGACACTGCTGTCACTGCACCTATCCCCGATGCCCAGGACGGTTTTGATGCTGGAGACCCCTCTCTTGAACTGGCTCTTCACGCTGAGCTTTGACCGTCCGGTGCTAGTAGATTCCATCGATCGCGAGCCCGTCCCATCGAAGAGATGATTGAGCTTTGGTATCTTGGAGAGCGGCTGGTTGGCCCAGCGTGCCGAACTGGGATGCGGAGGAGGGGAGGATGGCCGTCGTTTGCGACTCAAAGCCGAGATGAGTGTCATGGTGCGGATGAGGAAGATTGAAGGCCAGAATTACCTGCTGCTTCCTGTGGGTGATATACGTATAAGAGCAATGGGAATGCAAGTAAGATCAAAGCGAAAGCTAATGGGGATGGTATTTGTTGGATGAGCAAAGAAAGGGAGTTCAAAAAGAGAGGTAGGATAGCGGAGTTCATTTTCAAAGAGGGCAGGCCAATGCACCTACCTTGACTTCTTCAACAACATGAGGCAGGAGCGTGTGGAAAATGAGATGACATTGGAACACGTTGCCCGCGATTGTTGGCGACTCGTCTGAGAGTTCTGTTGATCTGAAGAAAGAGTCGTTTAGAATTCAAACACCACCGGCGGCAGGCCCCTATTCAGGATAGCTTTCTGCACCTCTCTTTTCAGAAATGTCAGCGCCTTCTCCCACGACGCACGGGTCTCTCCACTGCCGAAGTTCTCATACTCTATCACCAATCCAAGCCAATTGACCACAGCGACGGCCTTGGCCATGTCCCGCTCAACAGAGACGACCTTGCTCAGATACTCAGAGAGTGCGGCCACATCCTCCATATCGGGTTCTTCACCATCCACGGAGAGCTCTCTCACCCAAGCTGAGATGGCATCCCGCAACTCGGGCAATGAGCTCAGCTTCTGGGAAGTAAAAGTTGGCTTCTCTGGCTGCTTTGCTAATTGGAGTTTCTGTTGACCTCGTGCTACAGCTTCTGACTGAGTAGTCGTTTTGGGCTTTTTCCTGCCAATGTCGAAGTTCAGGCCAGATTTGGACTTCATCCGATTTCTCTTCTGTTCTGTGAGAATTTCCAAGCGGATGTCTTCGGGCAGCTCATTGAGGAAAGACTCGGATATTTCTTCAGAGATGTAGGGATTCGGCTGTGGTTGGTCCGAATTCGTCCCGGGCATGGATACGAAATTAGACTGTGTGAGAGTCGAAGACGAATCGCCACCTCGCTTCGAGCCAGACTTGCTGAACAAGGTTGTCGTCTTCTGCTTCTTGGCCGGCGTCACAACCAGCTTCTTTGACGGACCCAACATCCTAGGTTTGTGAGGTGATTGAGGCAGCACACTTTGAAGTGCTGGTGGTCTTTCTCTTTTGTCTTGATGTTTATACTGGGCCAGCACTTCATCCCTGACATCTGGAGGAAGAGCTGCGAGTGTTTCGGGATCAAGCTGGCTCTGGCTGGGTAACACAGCCTGATTGTCATTCGCGAAAGGCGAGACCGATCGCGATAGAGCCTCGTTGGAGGGTGACGCTGCACGAGTTGGAGCACTCATGATGTCCAAAATGCTCCTTCGTTTGGGCGCAAGTTTGTTCCTGATATCCGCAGGTAGCTCTGCTAGCACGGTCGGATCAATCTGAGAAGGAAGAATGAACTGTGTGCCGCTAATATTTAGAGGCTTCTGAGTGGAATCCTCTTCGCCAGCTGTGACAACTGCGTCAACAGCACCGGAAATGAGTTCTCTCGGTCTAGGCTTCTCGGGAGTCGGCACTTCCTCGATGGAGTCCGTCGTCTCCTTGGATTCTGGTGTCCGTTTTGGGAGTGGGCTTGTTCTGTCCTGGCCTGGCATCCCAGGGGATGTTGATGTTTGTGTGTCGGGCTTCTTGAACTGAAGCCTTCGCTGACCACCATCCATGAACCCGTCTATGCTGGCAATGGACGGCTTGAGCGGCTCCAGTTTCTGCATCTGTACGCCCAGGCCTCGTAGTTCTCCAGGAGGGAAACCGTAGCCTCGTAAAATGGAAATCGCTTCCTTTCCCAAAATAGCTCCATCGTTTGTGGCCACCCCGAGCATGACACTCTTGTTGAAAGTATCACACTTGCCATGACCCAAATTCTTCGGGGGATCTAGACCAGCATCTGCCGCTTTTCGCATGATCTTCATAGTCAGTTGCCTTCCTTTGACCAGTTGATCCAGAAGCCGGCGTGACAGCTCCTCGCAGAGACTTTGGACAAACTCTTCTGCTTGTTGTTGATTGATGAACCGGATGCCCCAGTTGATTTCGGCGGAGACCGACTTTCGGACCACCTGATCGCCCACTTCCTGTCTGTCAATCCCCCGAGAGTAATCCCATATCTTCTCGCCAGTCTTCGGTCCCAAGGTGGCGATGAGTTTCTCTTTGGTGCGGGCTCTGATATCCTTGACATATTTGATCCCGATTTCCTCTAGCTTGTTCCCAATACTCCACGCAACACCGGGCAGATCCGTGACCGTCAGTTCCCCAATAAAATCCAGAACTTCCTCTGGCTTAATCAGATGTTGCCCGGCAGGTTTGGCCTTCCGCAGAGCAACCTTGGCGAGCAGTATATTTCCTCCAATGCCTACCGAGACCTCACAGCCTGTCTTTTCTTTCACCGAGGCACGTAACCCTTGTGCAAGACGCTGGGCGGCTTCTTGTTCGCGGTATAGAGACCCCTCTGACAAGGCTCTTCCATCGGATCCACCGACCTCAATGCACTGCTCACTAACGTCCAGCAAGGCCTCGTCAATACTTATGCTCTGGACCACACCATCGATTGCCAGGATAGAGTCGTAAAACTGACGGCTGGCGTCTTCATACGCCTTGTAGTCATAGGGCAAGATCTTAAGCTCTGGGCACATACTTAGCGCAGATTTCATCCACATGCCGTTCTTGATACCGTATTTTCTAGCAGGGTAGTTGCAACTCGCAATCTCGGATCCTGGTCCACTACCATGCGCAATCACCACGGGTTTGTCAACCAAGTGGGGGTGTTTGCGCAGAGAGACAGCAGCAAAGAAGCTGTCAAAATCGACATGCATAATGTATCTCCTTGCACCTGGTAGTCTTCGGAGTCTCCTTTTCTGAGAGGACAGTTTCTCCTGAGTGCGTGCCTGCAACTGGACTTTTAAATCCGCTTTCCAGGTAGACAAGTGATGCAACCTGGATTCGCGATAGTATTGGTTAATGAAGTCGGGATTTGCAGTGCTCGATTTGGCCATGTGAGGATTGGAGAGGAGAACGGCGTTGTGCTCTTCTGCCGTTAATTGGCGCTTCTGAGGCTTCGGCGAGTCATTCAGCGAGGAGTCTTCTGGTTGACCCTGCTCAGGTGGCTTCGGCTGAGGATCGGGCTTGTCACACGTGGAAATATCATGGCCATTATCGACATCGAATGGTGCCCCGGGTTGGTTAACATCACCCATCTTCGGTGCTTCTCCCGCCGCAAGCATCGCAAGGTCGGCTTCTTGGTCAAAGGCGGGCTCATCTGGCTCCCGGGGCTGTGTGTTCTCTCCAACTTTTTGACTTGTACATCGCCCCATCTCGGGGGATTGAGACATATACACACTTGTCTCGGTCTGATCCTTGTATCTGCTCTGTTGAGTGTTGACCTGGCTGATAAATCGACCACTCTCAAAGCTCAACACTTTTTGGGCAACGCCTTCGTCGACCAGTCTATAGGCATCCCAGGATAACAGCTTTCCCGCTTTCACACTATCAACCACCCAGGCTGGTTTCACAATGCGGTATCGTGCAAACTCAACCGTTTTCTTAGGAGTCAGATGACTTGCAATGACGTGGGTGACAGCAGTCTTGCCATCAAGATATTGGAGGAAGCCGCCGCCATGAGAAACAACGAGGGTGTGGAGATCGCTTAGAGAAGGTTGGGTGTAGCCATTGACATGGGCAACAACGCCGCGGAAGATGGGAGGCTTTTCCGACGAATTGGCGCGAATTTCGACATCTAGATTCTGTAGTTTGATCTTCTTCCTCCGCATGTAATCGGCAAAACCGCCAAACTTGGAGGCTTCATATTCCTCGCCTTGCTCGTCGCTGAAGGTGTGGCCCTCAATCCGCTTCCGCACCAGGGTGGAGTTCTTTTCTAGTCTGGAGCCCATGGGGGGATAGGAGATGTCATCGTTGCGAAATGGTCCTCTGGAGCATCGCCGCCGTGCGGTCGCGTCTTTGGACTTGAGATGGGTGTTGATGGAGAAGAATGATACAGTCAGTTGCCCAAGGTGCGAGTGGGAGATCTGGCGCGTGAGGAGAAACGCGACAGGCTGCCGGGCGCAGCAAGGCACAGGCAGACAGGTGGCCGGGGGGGTCCACTGGCGCCCCCGGTGCCACCGGTGCCACTCTTTGCAGCCCGAGAGCCTTTCTTGCCTTATCGATAAGCAAGGATTTATGGCTTGGCTCGCATCTCGTTTCTGAGGCAGCGCAACTCCAAATCTCTCCAATTATTGTAGAGCTCGTTTTCACTTTTTCAATTTTCTTTCTGCGCTCAAACTGCAGTCTCACAACTTGGCATCCACTCTACCATACCCTTTCTACGGAAGCAGCCTATCCTAGAGTTACCATAACAGCGTCTCTTCCTTGAGACACTGCAGAAAGTGCCACCAGCATGTCAGGCCTTCAACCTGTGGCGGTCTACGCCATGAAAGTCCCTCCAGGCGACATCATGGTTCCCGCGGTTCCCGCATTTGCTGCCATGGTATGTTATATCCTCATTGGAATGACCGAGGATCCATGCTAACGATTCTGCACAGTTTCGTCTGACCATGGCCGCCATTGATCCCAGTGCTGAACCCGAGCTCGAAGATCCTGACGACAAACGCCCTCCACGAGCAACTCTCAAATTGATCCGCGTTCCAGCCGGTCTGCTTGATGAGGATGACGATTTTGAGGACGATGAGGACTACCTTCCTGGTCTGGACGACGACGACGACGAGGAAGATGATGAGGACATCGACGAAGAAGTGAATGGCGGACCAAGTGAGAAGAAGTCCAAAGCCAAGGCAGCCGGTGACAGTGAAGATGATGATGAAGACATGGATGACGAAGATGATGAAGATGACGACGAGGACGATGCAGCAGCCATCGCGAGATTGTCCAAGCTCATGAAGAGCGCCAAAGGAAAAGGTAAAGCAAAAGCCCTGGACGGGGAGGATGGCGACGATGAGGAGGAGGATGAAGACGACGAGGCTCTTGAGATGGATGAGGTGGTCGTCTGCACTCTCGACCCCGAGAAGGTTAGTGCTTTCCGTTCAGTTGTGATTTCTTGTCTAATCCTATCAATAGAACTACCAGCAAACCTTGGACTTCGTTGTTGGAGAAGGCGAGAAGGTTTTCTTCAAGGTTTCGGGCGCATACACTGTCTATCTCACCGGCAACTATGTCATTCCTCAAGACGACGGCGCAGGCTCTCTCTACGATGAAGAAGATGAGGAGGAAGACTATGACTTGTCCCCAGACGAGGACGAACTCGCTGCCCTCGAGGACGCCGACGAAGACTCTGACGCTCTTGATGACCTCGCGGACCCTCGCATCACAGAAATCGACGAAGAGGACGATGTGAACGCCCTTAAGGCCATCAACCCGACTGGAAAAGGCAAGAACAAACGTCGTGCCTCAGATGACGATGACGAGGAGGACGAAGACAATCTGGACGACATGTTGGCCAAGTCGCTCAAGAAGGAAGAACCCAAGGCAGCAGGACCAACCCCAGCTACAAACGGCGGCGCACCGGAGAAACTCAGCAAGGCCGAGAAGAAGCGTCTCAAGAAACTCAAGAAGAACGATGGCGAAGCTGTTGCAGTCGAAGCCACCGTAGGAGAGGCCAAAAAGGAAGCGGCGCAAAGCAATGGCAGCTCTGAGAAGAAGGTCCAATTCGCAAAGAACCTGGAGCAGGGACCGACTCCGTCCACGACGCCTCCTGCGTCTGCCAAATCCGACAGTAAGGAGAAGTCAGGTAGCGGCGCTGCCACTCTGGGCGTGAAAGAAGTTCAAGGCGTTACTGTCGACGACCGCAAGATCGGCAGCGGCCCTGCTGCGAAGAAGGGCGCACGTCTGGAGATGCGCTACATTGGCAAACTCGACAATGGCAAGGTCTTCGACAGCAACAAGTCCGGCAAGCCATTCAGCTTCAAGCTCGGTGCCGGCGAGGTGATCAAGGGATGGGACATTGGTCTTCAGGGGATTCAGGTTGGAGGAGAACGGAGACTGACCATCCCGGCGCATCTGGCATATGGGAACAAGGCTCTGCCCGGGATACCCAAAAACAGCAAGTTGACCTTCGACATCAAGTGCCTGGCTGTGAAATGAGTGCCAGATGCTGGGGGCAGAGGATGGACGAAGGTTGCGCATGCTCGAGGCGTTGGATGGGTACCAGGGATCATGCGCTCCTGGGCCGCCACAAGCCACGACCCCTGACCTTGTGAGCGCAAGCTCAAAAGTCGATATCCTCAAAAAGCCGTATTTTTATGTGAGGTTTCGGATGGCAGGCGTTCTAATGGATTGATTGCGCTGGATGAAAAAGGTGCTAGAGGAGGACTCAGATCCCCGAATGATTTCATTTGAGCAGCGGCTGCAGCACCCATAACCTGAAGCATCACTCCCCTATTTGTATGTCTACATAATAACACTTGCGACTGGTGGAAAAAGGGGCGTGCATCAATGGTATGTAGTGGTAACCTGTGAGGAAGTGATCCTAAATCAACGACTCATAAAAGTTTGATCTGATCGAAAGGCATTCCGAACGTCATTCTGTATCATTGATAGCGTTGCTCTGTCTCTTCATGTTTTGTCGTTCGCCCCTCTGCCTGAACAATGTGGCACAACACGGTATAGCACAGTATAAGAGAGCAACATAGTATAGCGCAGCATCATATAGAATATAGTACAAAACGGTACAGTATAATATAGTACAACTAGTGCACCCCTTGATATGGTGATCGATTGAGATCGATTGATGGATTCCAACCAAGGCCAGGTTAAGTCTTCAACGCCCTATTGAACCATCATCTTCATTCTTACTTCCATTCTCACCCTTCTCCCTTCTCCCCTTAGTCATCTTCTTCGGTTTCACCATTTCAAACCCCTACAACGAAGGAAGGAGGTCCAAAAAAAAGTGTGTGTGTGTATATATGGTATATTTTGTCGTCATGATATCATAGACTTTGCAGCTCGTTTCACCCTATCCATCACGTCTCTCGCATCCATCCCACCTACACGTCTCTTATATCCCTCGCACAGTTCCGCTGCCCGAGTCAAGGTAACTATCTTTCTTTCTTTCTTCACAAGCTAAACCCAAAGCCCCGGCCCCCACGAAATAAAAATACCAGAAGGCCTTGAATGGATATATAAAAACGTGCCGTTAAGGGGGGGAAACCAGGGGGAGGCGATGCAATTTTATTTTTCCTTTTTGAATCTGGGAGAGGACAGGACAAGACAAGACAAGACACGCGCTGCGGGAGGAAGAGGGAAAGGAGCTCGGTCTCCTCTAGGTCGGCACGGCACGGCCTTTTCAGAAGATTGGAAGGCCCGGCTCAGTCATTTCATGTCGTTCCAACAACCTTGTTCGTTCTCCTTCTTTTTTTTTTCCATACCTCGACCCAACAGGGAGGGCCTTGAAAGATACAAAAAGACCCAGGTAAATAAGCGGTCGAGAAACGACTTTTGCCTTTCACCCGCGCAGACGGCTCATTTGCGGGTCATAGAGGGGTTCGCGGGTGACGGTGGCGTGGATCCTCTTGCCAAAGTACTCGATTTCGACGGGGGCGCCCTCGTTCACCGCGCTGGGCAGCCAGGCATATGCGATGGGCTTTCCGATGGTGTACCCGAACGCGGCGCTGGTGACGTACCCGACGGCGCGCCCGTCATGGAAGACTGGTTCCTTGCCCAGCACGACGGAGCGGCCGTCGTCGACGGTGAGGCAGCGCAGGTGGCGCGATATCGTCTCCTTAGAGCGTCCCTCGAGCGCGGCCTGGCCCACGAACCCCTGCTTGCCTGCCTTGACGGCAAAGTCCAGGCCGGCCTCGTACGGGTCGTGTTCGGTGGTCATATCGGTGCCCCAGGACCGGTACCCCTTTTCCAGCCGCAGCGCGTTGAAGGCGGTGCGCCCTGCCGCGACGACTCCGTGCTGCTGCCCGGCCTGCCAGAGCGCGTCCCACAGACGCTGCCCGTTGTCGGCGCTGGTGTAGATCTCCCAGCCGAGTTCCCCGACATACGACAGCCGCATCGCAATAACAGGGATGCCCGCGATGCTGGCCCTCTTCACACGGAAGTAACGTAGCCCCTTGTTGCTAAAGTCATCACTGCTGACCGTGCTGATCACGTCGCGCGCCCGCGGACCCCAGAGCCCGACGCAGCATGTACCTCCGGTGATTTCGCGTACATACGCCCATCTGCTGGGGTCATGCTGCGACTGCCGGCGGGCCTCCCGAGAGAAGTAGATCAGATCCACGCGGCCGTTCACACCTACCTGGAAGAGGTCCTGGGCGAGTCTAGCCACAGTGATGTCGCTTCGAACACCTCCAGAATTGTCTAGGAGGAGCGTATAGGTGACGGCGCCTGGCTTCTTCGAGACATCACCCGTGGTCAGTCGCTGCAGCAGATCGACCGCCCCAGGCCCAGCCACCTCTAGCCGACGCAGCGGAGTCATGTCGTACATGGCGACCGCTGTTCTCGTCTTCCAGGCCTCCACCGCGGCGACCGGCGAGTAGTATCGGGCGGACCAGGCGTCCCGCTCGATGGGCTTCCACTCCGGCGGGAGCTGCTCGATCAGCTTTGCATTCGACTCATACCAGAACGGGCGTTCCCAGGCCCCGCTCTCGAGGAAGAACGCACCCAGCTCACGCTGCCGAGCGTAAAATGGGCTTACTCGCAGTTGGCGCGGCGACTCTCTCGGCTGAAGTGGGTGTGTGATATCGTAGACTTCGATGAAGTTCTGCTGCGAAGTCTCCTTGACATACGCCGGTGTGAGTTGGACTTCCTCGAAGCGCCCAAGGTCGCATTCAGCCAGATCGACCTCGGATCGCCCTGCAGTTAAGATTTCGGCCACCGCGCGCGCGACGCCAGCAGAGTGCGTCACCCATACCGCCTCCGCCACATAGAATCCGTCCAGAGTGGGCGACTGTCCAACGAGAGGACCGCCGTCCGGGGTGAATGAGAAGATCCCGTTGAAATCATCGGCAATCTCGCTCTCCTTCAAAGCAGGTAGGAGCTCTCGAGATAAATCCCATGCCAGTTTGAAGTCTTCTGGGGTGAATTCCAGGCGGGATGGCATGTTCTTTTCGTCGACGCTCTTTGAAGCTAGGGGCAACGTTGAGGCAACGACAGGGATCGGCCGGTGGGCATAAGAGCCAATGCCATACTGTTCGCCATGCTCACGGTAGTAGAGGTCCTGGTCCTGGTAGCGTAAGATGGGGAGGCTCGCTCCGTTTGGTAGCGGATTGCGACCAGCTTGTGCTGGTACGGGTGTCGTCTTCGCATATTGGTGTGCCAGTGGCAGTAAGGGTACTGAGAGCCCGACCATGGCTCCCACCTCAACGCCCCAGAAACCCGCGCAAGAGACGACGATGTCGGCAGGTATGGTCCCCTCCGGAGTCACCACGCCGGTAACGCGGTCGTCAGCTTGCTCGATGCCAGTAACCTGCGTGGAACCCAAGTAACGGACGCCAGCCTTGCGAGTGCGTGCAATGAGCAGCTGGACCGCGCGAGCGGCCAGTGCTAGGCCATCAGTAGGGATAAACAGGCCACCGAGCACAAGGTCCTTGTTCAACAGAGGGTATCTTTCAAGACATTCCTCGGTACTGAGCAGGCGGGTTTCCACGCCCCAGGACGAGGCCCAGCCGTGCTTGCGCTTGAGCTCCTCGACTCGCGCCGGCGTCGTTGCTATCTCCAAGCCGCCGACCTGATTGAAGCAGCTCTGGCCGTCCTCTTCCAAGGCCAACAGCTTGTCCACGGTGTATTTAGCGAACTGGGTCATTGTCTTCGACGGGTTAGTCTGGAACACCAGGCCCGGGGCATGCGATGTCGACCCGCCAGGCATATCCAGAGGCCCCTGCTCGATGACGGTGATGTCGGTCCAGCCACGCGAGACGAGCTCGTCGGCGAGGTTTGTGCCAACGATGCCAGCGCCAATGATGGCGATGCGTGGCACGGGCGCCATGGTGATAGACCCCATTGCAAGGGAGATGTTTCGGGATCGCGAAGGGGATCCTGGCAGTAGTTCCTGATGACTCTTTGATCTGCATCCAGAGAAATACTACCAGAACTGCCGGCCCTTCCAAGCCCTTATTAGAGTAAAGGCAGCAAAGAGGCCCTGTTTCGACAGTGCTTTCCTATTTGGGGAAATCGTACCATTGCGGCCACTACCGCGGTCACCTGATCGGCATCGGAATATCTGCCCCCGGGCCCGGATCTGTAAAGGGGCTGACACGTAGCCTTATCAGCAGCATCTTACGTGTTGTTCGCCTCGACGGAGCGCTATTGGGCCTGGACCCGTTGGTTGTTATCTAACTGGATCGCCAGCACTGTCTCATTCTCAAAGGGCGTTCGTCTGGAATGCTCCGGCACACCCCAAGAGGTGTGTACTCGCAGGGCGCTAGCCTTAGCAATGCAACTCGAGTTCCAGTGCCGAGATGCTCCTCTCAAGTCCGAACAACGAGAATGAGTATTTTGATGTACTCCAACAATGATGGATCAAGACTCGGCAAAAACTCATTGTATACAGGTCTAGCAGAGTGACTCTCACAGAGCCCATCTGAGGACCAACCCTTTCTCTTTATCATGGGCAGCCTAGCGTTCTGGATTCCCAATGCCGGATAAAGCAATTTTTTGTCTTTCCTTGTGGTTATGAGACCGCATTCTTCTCTCGGTCCCGTCAACATATCTTCAAGGTCTTGGTGGTATGAGTTTTCTAGCGTCCCCAAGAATTTCGTTCGACATAGGGTGGAGGTCAGTGGATGCGATACTCTAGCTTCCGACCCAATTTCCGCCCAAGTATACATGATATTCAATCAGCAATGTTTGTTGCATCGTCCTCACTCTTCTTTTCTCTCGTCCGAAAGCATTTTGAGAACGGCTGTCTCACCTCGATCCAGAACCCGACAGGGGGATGGATACAGCCAGCCTCGTACGTGTCGACAATAAGCCGCCCCCTGATCAAGTCCCCGTGCAGCCGTCCTGACCCGATGAGTCTGTTTAATGAATTTCCAGCAATGGTGGAAAATTGGAGCGACAATGTGCATGGTATAATTCTGGAAAAGGGACTCCACGTTCCAAGGGGCGAAGGAAACGTAGCCGTAGAAGAGACAAATAGGAATAGTGGCGACGACACCGATACAAATTTAGTAAGGTAGAAACCAACCGGTTTATGGGAATAGCTTCCGGTCGAATTCCTGCACTTGATACGCCTGGTAGAACAGACGTACGTGATACAAATGACCAAGTAGTCCATGAGCCCACCGGTCGTAATAAGGTTGATGAGCTAGGTCAAATCAATCGATGCCCTGTTGGAGACATGGAAAAAAGGGAGGAAAGGAAAGGCGAGAACAGCTGCTAAGGTATAGACGGGGATACCTTGCTTTGTGCATTTAGTTAGGACCTTGGGATCCTGTCCGCATAGCACCAGACCATACAAAGAACGGGTTGCGGCTCCGCAGAGCCAATAGAGCCACCGATGACGATGAGCTGATCTAGCGACTGTTGAGTCGTGGACGGAGTTGACTGCATTCCGGCAGTGATATGGCCCTGTTGAAGACCAGCCTTGGTGACGATACTGTCGTCTTTTGGCATCTTTATTGTCGTGCATGGTGAATGATGTAAGAAAAATGCGAGATAGTGTCGGCAATTTTTGCAGAGAATCAACCGTTTGATCAACAGAGAGTGGATTCATCCAACTCAATGGGACGGAGGCATGTTTTCATCGTCCTCTGTGTCCGCCGTCGCAATTGAATGGGCCTCCAATTGCATGTCCGGGTCACGGAGTATAGAGAATGCGGTATTAGATACCGGAGAGCAGAAACTGTGTGCGGCCTGGTATATGATGCCAGGGAAAGAACTGATTGATAGTATAGAGGAGCTGCACAATCCTTCATGCTCGCATAGAGTGAGATCGTCCGAGAAAGCCTTGCGAGAGGGCGACCTTGCCCAGGGCAACTTGAAACAGGCTGGCGAATTCCGTCAACGGCTGGCTTTTCAAAAAGTGAGGGTTGGATTTGCCTGAGGCGATTGATGAGGGATTCATATAGGATCAGCCCAGGAGCAACATCCCATGCGATGAGAATGAGGATACCGGTTCATTCTAGCAAGTCATCAAACGGGCCCAACGACGCAACAGCTTCCGTGGACAGGCATATCTCTAGAATTTGACACGTCCGTTAATCCTTCAAAATGCCGCTTTTTCCGCTATACCTGGACACATTAGCCCAGTCATGGTAGGGGAACCATTTGGATATGTTAGACGAGGTCGTCGTAGTGCTTCTCACCAATGATTGAAAAGGGATATAGATACCGAAGTGATTTCAACGGAAATACGGCAAAATATTGGTCGTCTGACCGATGAAAAGGATGTCTGATATCGCACGCCTTCCCGCTCGAGTCGGTGCAGCAAGATAAGCTACAATTCCCAATTGGGAATGATTCCATCTTGCCGCAAGTCTCCTGACATGGATTCAAATAGTTTGTTCGGCATACGGAGCCGAGAAGCCGCTTCTAGACCAACTTCGGTGCTCTTATCCGTTTCACCTTCTCGTGGAAAGGGTGTCCCCAGATACCCCAGAGCGGCAACCCCGGATGAGACGACAACACCAGATACGGCCCGAGTCCTGGATTGAGATGGCCCAGGAGGGTGTACAGATGTCTGCTGATCGCTTTCATTCCTCGCGCACTCGTGCGCTCCGCGCCAGCACTCTCAGACATGGTTCCACGAAGAAATGTACACGTGTTGCATGCGCCATGCTGAGGGATGTCGTACGTTCAGTGCCATACGCTCTTCGGCCCTGGTGTTGACTCACTTCGATGAGGGATTGCCAACGCAGACATGGTGCCGCAGAGGATGCTTTCCGCTCTATTTCGATGGATAATTTATAAGTTGCGCTAGTCTTCATACAGGGTGAAATCGTCTAGCGAATCTTGACTGTCGAATAAGGATATTTGAATTTGTCAAAGCCTGGCCTCAGCAACGATGTAATTTCTAGGTCATTGGCGCCGTGAAACTCCTAGCGTGCAATGTAGATGGCGTAAAGTCGACGTTGGGGTAGTGAGACAGCAATGTCGTTAGATTGTCCTCACTGTCACACTGGGGATTAGCACCGGAAAATCATGCAGATGGACATCAACAGCATACCTTGATGCTCCGAACCGGTCTTGGAAGAAGAACGAGAAGTCACGCTAGAAATGATTAAACATGACGTTACCAATGTTCTCGACCTCCCACCATGCCGCGCCCCTAGCATCGCCCATTGCGGGCTGCGAGTCGTGATAGCCCATGTCTCCCATGCCGACGAATTGCGAAGGGTCCGCCCACAGCCACGGAGTAGTGTTCAGAGTGAGGCTGTCTGCTTGCTCAACAGATATTTCGTTGCAGACATTCTTCTGTGCAGACTCTGGCGCCGAAGAGACAGGAGCTCTGTACGATAATATTGGTGCATCTTGCCCTCCATCAGCGGTGTTTACAGAAATTTCTGGTGAGGTAGCGACAATAATCTCAAGGGTTGAGCTCTCGTCCGCGTATTTTTGAGGCACCGCGGGTGAGAGGGAGGTGTCCAGTAAGCCGGCAGTGGGTATCTCGCGAGGATCCGCTATACAGTTGAACTGTAGGATATCCCACATCAAAGGCACACTGAGGTAGATCTTGGAAGGCATCCAGTCTTCAACATCCATACTCTCGGAGCCGGCAGCAATCCGCGTCATCTTGTCTAGATTAGAGTCCTAGAAACTGTCAGCCCGGTAACCTGTTCTGACTGAAAGAACGTACCAAAGCTTTACAGGCGGGTGAAAAGGGTACAAAGCTTTTCAGAAATCTCCTGCATTTGGCAAAGTCCGTGTTTGATTTATGTTTCAACCTGGAATCGGCGGCACAGCAATAATAGAGATGCACGGTCGCTGCAATGGCAGCGACATGTCCGAAAAATGGATCGACCAGCGGCATTTGTTTGTCCAAGACCATGTCAATCATGCGAACAATCCAGGTAGAGTGTAAGAGGGCGAGCTCGGAAGATCTCCTCCAAAACGTATTCGGAATTGCCAAGTTGGGATTGTGTTGTGCCCCGATGATGTAGAGGAAAGGGTGATTCAAAACGGTAGGGATCGCATGGTACGTGAACTGCTCCCTCAGCCACGGGGCCCAATAATCTCGGTTGATTTTCAACTCCTCCACTTTGCGCTCGTAGAATTTGACCGAGTCGTATCGGTGGCAGATGGGTATCCTGTTTTCTGTCTCCATAAAATCAGAGAGCACCATGGCATACATCGAGTCGTGCCGCCAAGGTTCCTTCCAGATATTGTGAGCACAGTTCGACACGTATTTTCTTACCCGACTCCACACCCATCCTAGCTGGACACTTGTGTTCCAGATTCCTGGCTCAGTCGGTGTTGAACATCCCAGGTCATCCCGGGGCAAAGGCGGGGCCTTTTGGTCAATCTCTCTGTCCGGACCCTGTCCTCTGCCACTTGACGAATAAGATGGTCGCCATGTCTCTGTTGGCACGCTCAAAAGACCGTGTTGTCGGCCGTACGACTGCTCAAGTATCTGAAGACTCCAGAAGAGCCTTTTTTTCCGCTCAGTGGTCGCGTCATCGACGGTGTATGTGGATTCGAGGTCCAGCGTAGCGGATCGACAGAGCTGGAAAGCAAGGCCGACGTGAAATTGGCCGAGGGACATGTTTCCGTCTAACTGGGAGTCAGCAAGAGTTTGCTCCATAGTCGAGCCAGATGTTCACACCAATAAAAAAGGAGTACGAAAGCAGACACAAGCTCTCAACGGTCGCAAGGTCCACCGTACCATTCGCGATACGAAGCATGATCAAACTCCTCGCATTCTTGCCATAGCGGCGCAACTGATCACATCTGGGTGGGAAGCGTGAAGTTAGGGCGAGGATACTGCAAGCAAGTTCTTCAGGGAGAGAGCTGTGATCTCCCACTTCTTCGGGCCCAAAGCACCAGATCGGTTGCTTGTGACAGTACTTGAAGTACAGCTCGATTCCAACGGCGATGTCGGATGGGCGCGGCCGCAAATTCGCATTCTCGGAGTTGAACTCGAGGGTAGAAGAAGGGTGGCTAGTAGGGTAACTGGGCTCGCGAGCCGGAGGAGTCACCGAGTATGACTTCTCTGAATAATCAGCGGTTTCTTCGAGTGTCTGCTCTGGACGTGTGGCATGGCTCGGTCTAATGCTCTGGTCAGAACACTGGGAACACAGCATTACTGGGAGGCTGTCCATCCATACAAGCCACCACTCAACAGGAGATCTAATTTCTCTTCCAGGTGTGCCAACCTCTCCTCCTGTAAATGACTTAACACACGTGTATCACATGGAAAGGCGTCAGATCGTATACCGATCGGCCGCTCCGTATCGCTCTGACCACAGGCGCATAGGAGCATGGCTGCTTCAGGCGGACACAGCTTGAACAGGCTGGCTTCTCGCCAGGACAGCGAGTTTTCTTCCTCCTGCAAGACGGTTGGCACACAGGACACAGAAAGAACCCTTCAAGAAGCGTAACAAACCTGCAAGTGAGGCAAGCATGATGTGATCGTTGTCTTCCGTTGAACTTGGTGGCCTCCTCGGTCGGAGTCATGTTGGACCTCAGCAAAAGAGCCCAGAATGACCTTAGAGGTCGGGGAGACTGTCAGCCGAAGATTGCATGGGCCTGTGTATGGTTGCCATTGTATGGACAGCAAAACAAAGTAAGGTGCCTTATCTGTTGCTGTTGTTGTTGTCGTCGTCGTTGTCGTTGTAGTTTCATGAATTCTTAAGGTTACGAGCAAAGGGGGATTCTGTTCCACTAAATAAATAATCGCCACCTCGCCACAAGCCCCGCGGGAAGCTTGATCAATGACCATCGTGATTCATCCGTCATTTTAACGATTGGCGCGGATCCAACCTCGAGCAAGACATCCTTCTGGAATCAACCCGACCACTCGTCGAGGATTCATGGAAATACTGGAGATGGTTGAACGGCATAGAACGATTTGGGGGGCAAACATGGCAGCTAAGACGTCTTAAGATCGTGAATGCGAATTCTATCACAGCGCCGCTAAACTAGCAGAATGCTATCGAACTGGAACATCTACATGCCCTGACGGCTGCTACACTGCAATGGGCTCCTTATTGATCCTGCAGCAATCCACGGCGGAGCAGAAGGCCACGTCTTTCTGGCTGGTCACATCGGCCTTGGGTAGAGTTTGTCGAGCCGGCCAGATCTCATCATGGGCCTCTGTCTCTCGCTTGTGGTGGGCTTGCACAAGCTCGCGCACTGTTTTCTGGAAGAACAGAGGGCCCTTCTCCATCCTGGGGTGCAACTCGCCATTGACAAAAACTCCGGCGTTGAGATTCTTCTGTGTGTTGACGCACAGGTACTTGTCCTCTGACATGATTCTCTTGTAGATTTGGTTGACGAGTTCAAAATCTTCGTCACTAGAGTTCTTGTTCCTGTAGACTTCATACTTCATGGTCGACTTGACAGGACCGCTGGGCACAAATCTCTGGATAAAGAAAAAGTGCGGTCTTGGGGAAGAATTAGCAATGTGGCTCGTCCAACCCGAATGATGCACTTACGAAACGTTCAAGGAGGCATTGGGGAAAAAATAGGTGGCAGCCACCCTAAGACCACGGGCAATCTGTTCCGGCGTAGGGTTGCCGAAATGTTGGATATGGCCGGCCTTTGTCTCGACACCGTAAGAACTGAGATCCGCGATAGTGGGAATATCAGGATGTGTCGTCTTGCAGTGATAACATTCGTTGTAATTGTCCGCCAAGATTTTCCAATTATATTCACCCTCCATCTCCCAGCTGTGATCGAATTGGTACTCGTCGAAATTGTAGTATTGAAACCTGTCTTGCTTGTCGACGCCTTCAAAGTCATCGTTCCAGGCAATTTCTGGCTTCGCACCGCCATCCAAGTTCACCCAGATGAATCCATTATGGTCAATGTAGGTATGGATCGGCAGAAGACCATTCTTCGACTTATCAAATCCAGGTAGATCTTGATATTCCGGTGCTTTTGTGAGGTTGCCGTTGAGGCCATATGACCAACCATGGTATTTGCAAGAAAAGATGTTGTTGTGCCCTTTCTCCTCAGTCACAATGGGAAAGGCACGGTGTCTGCAGACATTGTGAAAGCCATTGATGTTCCCATCGCGGTCTCGACAGAGAATGAACTGGAAACCGGCCACTTCATACCGTAGCCAGTCCCCTGGGTTCGCCAGTCTCAGTTTGTGCGTGGTCAGAAGCCATTTTCTGGAGAAAATCGCTCGTCTCTCAAGCTCATACATTTCCTGTGAGGTGTACCAAGAGGCCGGCAAAGCCCTGATGGGGGTTTTGTCATCCGCCGGCGACGACCATCCAAGGCCCAAGTAGTTCTTCAAGAATGATTGCGCCATTGTTTTATTAGAACGACAAGATTCAAAGAGACAAGTATCGATGAGGGTGAGGGACGAGGTTGAACATGATAATGAGGAAGCTTAAATCCAGATACGCTTCCTCCTCAAGACGCCACGCCGATGGCCTTATCGGCCACTGCAACCGCTGTGCCGCTGTGTCTCAACAGGATCCGTTAGACTGATCAGGATTTCGAAACCGAAAGGGGACATTGGCCTTATGCCGGTCATATGATCGGCAAGCCGGACCCGGCTGAGACATTAAAAGGGAAGGGCAGCCGCTGGCGGCACCAGCGGACAATCATTGGCTGATAAAGAACGTGCGTCCAGCGGACGTTCTGGGCCCTTATCGATGTGTGACAGCACATCCCGAAAGTTGTCGAAGTTGCGACGTTGTCATCGGTCTCGGGTTGATGGCATCAATTACTCACCCTCAATTCATTGATTGGCTTTCTTGAAAGGCGACCGACGTGCTTACCATTGCGGCTTTTCAAATCCTGAAAATTAAGGCACCCAGTCTTGAAGAGTTTCGACTTCTAGCCCGTGGATTGCAGCACTGTTCGAAGGAAACAGGATGACTTCGTCGCAGGCGCGGCGGTCGGGGGCTCAACACCCAAGGTACAGTAAGCGCAAGACTCGACAGAAGTATCTCGCTGGGAAAGCGCCGTGTCTTCTGAACATAATGGTGGTGAAATCAAACTACTTGGGAGCTTTCCTCCGATTGGGACTGCGACTCAATTGGAGGACATGATTAGAATTGAAGCTGTTGTCGGGGCAAATGTCAGACTTTATAAGAACCGAACGACTTGGTGTCATTTCAAGCGCTTGGCATCCCTAAATGCCAAGTCTTGTCACGTGCGACCGGGTGAACCCTCTTCGCGTGCACGAGCCGCAAGCATATTATCGAGTATGCTTGTGCCGTTTCGGAAAGGTACGAGGATATTCCTCCCAACGCATCGTCTTCCGACTGATTCTCAAGTATCTCTTTACGTCAATCAAAAATGGCCAAAGCCATGCATGAGTACAACGCCGAGTCTTCTCGAATCCCGAACGATTCTGTCGTCGCTCAGTTCACGGCTACCCGGCGCGGCCTCGTTCTGGGTGCTGCAGCCGCTGTGCTTTCCTCGAGGCCCTCCACGCCCAACATCGCGGTGCGCCAGTCCATCAGCATCTCAATGCTGATGTCATTTCCACCGCAAACCACTATCACGACCCTGCTCGATCGATCGAGAGTCTTCCTGGTGCCTAGGACCTTCTGCAGAAATCCCCCGTAACAGACGGGCACGTTGACGCCGACGGTCAGCTCGACCATCATCCGTTCGTGTTCCGCCAGGAGACAGCAACCTCGTGCGGCCTCGGCGTCCGAGAGGACGACGCTCGTGACGTTCGGGCGCCGGGCGTAGTCGAATGTTTTCTGAGAAACCCTGACGACTCCCAGGCTGGTGGCCTGGGATGTAATTCGCGGGAGCGTGATGAGCTTTCCGGCTTGCAGAGATTGATTCAACGAGTCCGCGCCCTCTGTCTCCATCGCCAGGACCTCGACCTCGTTGCTCCAGCCCTTGTCGTCAAGCACCTGCATGATTCCGTTCAGCAAGCCTCCGCCTCCGACGCTGCAGACCACAACATCAGGCTTTCCTCCAAGCTGCTCTGCGATTTCCCTCATGGTCGTCGCATTGCCTTCTCATATGTCTGGATGGTCAAAGGGCGGAACGAAACAGCCGTTGGGGTCCTTTGGCAACAGGTCCTTCTGAATGTATTCTTGGGCCTCTGCGATACTGGCGCCATGTTGAATGACTTCCATTGCCCCAATGGCCCACAACTTAGACACCATTGCAGGCTTTGCAGTGGTAGGGACCACCACTGTCGCCAGGTGGCCTACCAACTTGGCGGCGTGGACACAGGCAATGCCTGCATTGCCTCCTGATGCCGCATAGAAGTGTATTTTGGAAGATCCCCGACGTTCAGCGTCTCGGCGCAGGATGTAGTTCCCGATACCTCGAGACTTGAAGGACCCGGCGGGTTGTAGATTGTCGAGCTTCAGGAAGACTCTGCTTCTACGATTTAGAACGGTCACGAATCAAGGAGGAATCAAGCCCCGGCGGATGTGAGGATAGATGTACCATTTCGCTGCTTCTCCGAAGGGCCGGCTTTCGATCAAGGGCGTCTTCACCCACGGCTCCGGGAAATGCTCCTCCATTTTCTTCCTGAGTCTTGCGCGAGTATATCGACGTTAAACGAAGAGGCCTTCTACCCAGTCCACCTCATCAACAAGACGCTATTGCAGAGAGTGAGGGAGAGTCCCAGTGTCTAAAATTCACGCGTTTGATATCTATCCGATCCAGAACGCGCTCGTCCTTTTCGGTAAGGGAAGCCCGAAGCCTCTTTGGTCTCGAGCATAGGGTGCTATAGCCCGGACGCCGGAGGGCGGGAACCAGCACCGTGGTGGAGAAGGCGGCTTTTGGCTCCTCGGACATATATGCGCCGTGTTGTCAATGCTCGCCAAAAACACCCCTACCTGATCAGGGAAAACAAATCGCCAGATCGATGTGAGATACGATACATGAATCTGAAGCTCTGGCCCGGACACTGGGATGAACTTCCGAGTGCCCCAGAACCCTCTTGAATGTGGTCTAGATTGATCCGCCGAAATTGGTGACTTTATCCTCCTGAAAGTTCCCACCCAAAGTTGCTCGGCGGGACTTGGTCTGAAGATCACGAGGACCGGCTCAAAACACTCCCGGCCCGATTCTCCCTCTACTCTCACATTAAATTTGACTTGCCCGTAATATATATGCTCGATTCCGAAGCGATCAGAATCAACAATGCCTCCAGATATAGCTTGAAACTTTGACTAATGGGATAGCCCCAACACCATGCAAAAACTACCAGCTTCGATATTGAGGTGCTTGCATCGTGATGTTCGTGAAGTCGTCGTCAACAATGAAGTCGCCTTTGACTTTTCAAACATCCGCACACCTCGTTCGGCGGACCCTGGGATGACGGACTCATAAATCGCACCTTTGCGGAGCAAATGACCCAGTCTGACAAACAAGGCTCGACACCGTCAATTACCTTAGCCAGCGATGTATGTCATTCCTGTGCTTCTCAAGATCGAGGATGATTGTTTTCTCAAACAGTTTTGACAGTAATAACACCAAGAAAGGACGAATCGGATGGGATAAAGGATCTTTTCATGCATATATATATGTGTGTGTATTTTTGCGCGTCCAAACCTTCCTTCCATTACACCTCCAGGGGTCCCACCAAGAGCCACATAATTTTCCAGCTACAGTTTCGAAGTTCTCACTGGGTCCAGGAGATTTTTCATCTCTGCCCTCGGCCAATCCGGGTTAAGTGACGGATCCGGCCGCTCGCGATCCCAAGCCCATTTCTCTAGCAATTGTGGCGACAGCGAGCCCTCCAGCATTTGCAGGACGTACTTGCCGAGCACCGGGAAGAACTTGTAGCCGTGGAACGAGCCACAGGTTGCGAGGTACAGCCCCTTGGAGGCTGGGTGTGGCGAGATGATGAAGTCCGAGCTGGTGGTGAAGGCATCCCTTTTATTGGTCGCCTGAGGTTAGTATAATGCCATAGCTCATCCTGTCGTTCAGAAAACGGGCGGGGGGACGGTAGTGGGAATACATACCAGCAGATCCGATGTTTCTCCATCTTCCAGTGCGCGCCATTCTTACCGTAAAACACCTTGTTGGCATAGTCGATATCTTCCTTGAGTCTCCTGGAAACTTTCCATTGGGCGTAGTCTGGCTCTGCAGGCGGTGCGGAAAGATGGCGACCGGGTAAGACTTCATGAGTGTTTTTAAATATCGTCTGTCCCCACCACTTGATCTCTCTGTCTGGAGTCGGGGGAAGACTGCCGATAAACGGACCTGTTTTCAACAGTTAGGTGTACTGCCGCTGATGTGAGACTGATCAAGGTAGGACATTACCTATTTGTGCAGTGTACCCCTGAACGCCCACGGGCATAGTAGCAAATCTTTGATATGACTCGTCGTCAAGTTTGGTCATTCCCGTTGTGATGCCACCTGCTACAATTCTCCCTTCGGTTCGAAGGTCTTTCAGACCACTACTGGCAGCGCTCAATTCCAACAGTTTGGGCGTATATGCACCCGTGCAGAGGATAATGTGCGAGGCTGTCAAGGTCTCTCCTTTTGTTGTCTTGACTCCATAGCAGCGGCCGCGGCTGTCGAGCAGCAACGTTGCAACTTCTGCTGTTACGTACTTCACACCGAGCTCTATGGCTTTGCGGGTGACGGCTCGCAGAGCGTCTCCGGCAGCAGCCCAGCCACTGGTCTTGTTGACGAGCACTTCTTGGACCCCGTTGTAATCAGCGTCTTCGAAAAGTCCCCCGTATAGCTTCCGGGCCTCGTCGACGGACACGGCTCGAAGATCCGCAGTCCGGCCGAGTTTCTTGTAGTTGTCGATAACCTCCTGTGCGTAGTTGCTGCGGCATGTCCAAAAGATGCCAGTCTGATGGAAATAGGGCTTCCACAACGGATCCGTTTCGAAGATGTCTTGTGCTTCAAGCGCCAGTTGGCAGTATACTATATCGTCGTAGTCGGCGCGCACTACCTTGTTCCAGTCCCACGAGGCAGCCACGCGACTCTCTGCGTCAAAGGCATCCCGGTCAACCAAAGTCACTGATGCGTCAGGGTACTTCTTGATCAGGTGATAGGCAGTGGATACTCCAAACACGCCGGCTCCGACGATGATGTATGACGGTTTGCTCGAGGTCATACTGAACGTCGAGATACTTCTTCTGGTCTCTTACGTCTTGCACCAAGAAATGATCACACTTACAGAACAGTCGGGTTTTATGAGAAGATTTGTGGGACACCAAAGACGCAAGCCGGAAGGTTATTATGCCCATTTACAGACAAGCTCGAGTTTCCTGGCGGTCAGAGCATATTGATAGCATCAAAATGGTTTCCGATAAAAGTCCGTCACGGGATCGGTCACTCATGCCGCAGGGCCGGCCACGTGATGAGATAGATCTCATTCACTCAGCGTCAGCGTTGCTTTGGGATCGGAGATTTACGGATATCATGCGAGGGTTGTATGTGTGATATGCAACGAGGAGCAGGGAGTAGATCCCTAAGGCTGCATCTCGAGGATCCGCTCTGAAAAGGGTTTTAGCTCCAGCACCGAAAATGGCTCCAGAGAAGCCTCGAATCATGTTGGTACATGCAAAAGATTATCGTGCCGGCTATGCTTTTCACCATTCCCACGCTTTTGCTCAAAAGATCACATCATCCGATGTGGTATAACCACGCCATGCAATCAATGAAAGGCACTCTATATAGACGCAATGACGTCCCTTGCACCGTACCTTGCAAATGCCGCCGACCCATTTGCCCAGTCATACTAAGGACGAAGGCTGTTCGATCCACTTGGGATATCGTCGTCCCCTCTCGAATATTTTGTCCCTAGCTGTCGTTGCCGCCATGTACAATAACCGAACTGCGGAGTCTTGGTCGAGGGTCTGGTTAAGACATCGTGGGCGGCGCGCCCATGAACGCAGCGTTGTTGAAGCCGTCTTCCTGTTTGATGGTGCCGTTGAGCAGGGGACATAATCTTGATAGTGAAACAATGTCAGCAAATGAATAATGGCCAGGAGACAATAAGAGTGAAAAGGAGACGAGCACAGAGCTAAAGAGAGCTAAAGAGAGCTTCGGATCGCCGAGGTAGTCCGGGAACTGCGCACAACTTGCTTCTGCATGGCGGCACAAGGTGATTTTTCACCGCCATGGGCGAAAGGGACGGAACATCGAAACATATCCTCGAGTCGGACGAACATCAAGTGAAGCAAGGTCGAGTCCCATTCTCGCATCGAAAGCGTTCCGATGAGCCGCCGTTCTCAGACCAAAGCGGTAAGGAAGGACGCTCCTCTCAATGCCTCTGACCCGAGAAGTTCGGTGCACTCATCAACAGGGACCCAACTTTGCGGTCAATGGGGAGATTGCAATTTTTACACTTAGCACTGGTGACTGACTTTTTGTTGGTTTTGATGTGGCCCACCTGGCCACAATTCGCACACTTCCGCTGCGTGGGTTGCGTGTTCCTGCCGCCACCGCCAGCTCCGTCGCCGTCCGGAGACATCGCTGTGCCACCGGGCGAGGTAATGCCTTGCCTGGCTTCTTTGTTCTTGTTGCGCTTTTGCCTGCGGGCCTTGTTCTTCTCGAGCTGCGCGATGGCCTCTTCGAGTCTGTTTGGAGTCATTAGCAATCCCAGCAATCGAAGGTGCACATGATGGGTGGTATTACTAACCGTTTCTTTTGCCGCGCATCCAGCTCTGGGTCGCCAGTAGGTTCAAGTTCACTGAGACTTTGCACATGTAAGCAGGAGACAGGGACGCAAAATTGTGGCCAGTCACAAACCTTGTAGATTGCACCTCTTCCGTTTCCTTAATCTTGATATATCGCTTAATCACTGCCGGGTCAGTTTCAAAGTGTTCCTGTTCGATGATTTCTCCATCTTTGGTTTTGATTCGGCGCACAATCCGTAGTGCCCGTTGAGTCTGACTGCCCACGCTGCGTCTGCTGAATGAGGTGGCCGTCTCGTCATCCCGGCGTCTCGAGATTGAAGGCGTCTGCGTTCGAGACATTGGCGTTGCTCGGATGTTGGGCCGAATCTCGGGATATTTATCTTCTTGAGCGTCCACATCCCCTTCCATGTCTAGATCTGAAGGCTCAATTTTCGACCCGAGACTAGCTTTCTGCTTGTCCCAGATGCCACGAATGGATTCTTCGTAGGATTTCTGCTGTCTTGCAACATTATAGCTGTGGCCACCGAGTTCTTTCTTCAGAGCGATGGCATCCATGGCAGAACCGCCTATTGGTCGAAATCCGCCCTTCATACTCGTCTTGATAAAGGAAAATGCCTCGCCGCGGCCTGATGGATCTCCCTCGCCGTACAACTTGAGCATAGCCTTGCCTTGAGCGGCCTGCAGGAAATTTTTCGTTGTCCTCCAAGGAGCCAGTTGCTGCTCGATACTATCGGCCTCGTTCTCCTTGGTGTCGTCTTCCTCATCATTATCCGCGTACCCAGCATCCTGAAGATACTGTGCGCCGACTTGCATCGACTCTAACAGACAGATGTCTTCCGGCCGAATCAAGGACTGGATCTGCTCTTCGCTGGGAACCTTGTCACCCGGCCTCATTTCCCACTCTTTGAATTCTT